CAACATATGCGTTGATTATGCAAAGATTATCTCTCAAAGGACATCTAGAAAAGGGAAACTAAGGTCGGGGATCAGAGGGGGCCTTCAGTTTTCAGTATACACTATTGTTCAGTTTAACCATTTAAACTTTTCATCACATGCATATTGTAATATTTTAAACTTGAATTTTATAGAGATAACAACAGTAATAACAATACCTATGTCACAGCAACGTGGGGAGAGTGCAAACATTTAAGGTCTGTGAAAAGCGTTGTACAGAATCAATGTCCCATTAGGGGTTAATTTTACATAAGGACGCAGGAGGGAAGAACATTTAAGGCTCTCAAAGAAAGCTCCATTTATAATAGAGGGGACAGAAACCCAGCCCAAGTAAATATTAAATCTCTAATAAATGTCCACAGATGATTACAAAACAATAACTGAAATGACTGGTTTTGCTTCTAAGTCATATATAAGAAATGAGATAAATAACCCATAGAATCTTAGGTCATTAAAGGTGCAAGGAATTACTGACAATGTTTAGCGCAACTCCTTATTTGAGAGACACAAAGAAACTGAGGTCCAGAGAGGAGATGTGACTTGCTCAACATTACACAGCGAGTGAGCGGCAGTGCAGGTAAGCTGTCTAATGCCCCAGTCTTTCCAGCATACCACACCAGTGAGCAATCCAAATACAATTGTCTTACAAAGCAAAAGAGGGGCAAGCAAAGGGAGAAGTATGGAATAAGTGAACTTCCTTGGTTGTCCTCGATTCCTGTAATTGTCTTCGTCATCTCCCTATCTACCCTGTCCCTTGCCAAAAACTCAACACTGAATCTCCTAAGGAAACTTGGGAGACTTTCTCTTTCTGGTGTGCCTGAGTTATATAACAGAGCTGAGCTGGCACCCTAGCTGATCCCTCCTACCTAATCACATCATTTACCTTCAAACCTGGACATCGGGGTGTCTTCTCAGTTCTGGAAACTTGTCAGAATCCAGGGTCTCAAAGAGTGGGTCTGAAGCAGGACAGCAGGGAACACCCCATTCTCCTGCCCCCAGCTCCCCTATGGAATCCTAGTTCAAGGCAGGGTCAGGTGTGAAGGGCATCTCAGGGGAAGGATATCCAATCCCACTAATGCTCGCCTCTAAGAAGCTTATCTGGGCATTGTACAAGTTCTGGGTCCCACTGCCTCCGCCAGAGCCTGAGAGGGTAGACCCTTCACCAGGGACACAGATGGGCTCACCATGGGCCCCTGCATCCAAGGGAGAAAATGGGGGAACTTCTCAGACTTGTTTCTAAGCTCTAAGAATGAGAGGTGGTATAGTTCCCATGCTTAGGGAGGAAAGATTTAGAAAGATTCTGAAGGCACACTGTCGGAATCAAGAGAAAGTGCCTGGGGCTTAAAAGATCAGAAAACTTCAGTTAGCACTGGGATCTGTTTGCTACTGTGTCACTCTAAATGTAATCTAAATGTGAATGTGGAGATAATGACACCTCTCTTACCTATTTGTGGGGTGGATGTGAGAATCAAAGTCAAAAATGAGGGGTTACCTGCTCAGTTTTGCTGTGAACCTAAAACTGCTCTAAGACATAAAGTCTATTTTTTAAAATGAGGGAGTGGGAAGGGTATAGCTCAGTGGCAGAGCACATGCTTAGCATGTACAAGGTCTTGGGTTCAATCCCCAGTACCTCTACCAAAATAACTAAATAAACCTAATTACCTCCTCCCCCTCAAAAAAAAATTCAAAAAGGCAAAAAAAAAATCAACAAAAGCTTTTTAAATACTAATAAAATAAAATAAAAAGAGGGAAAGTGAGGGAAGTTTAAAGAATTCCACACAAGAAAAATATTTTATTAGGCTTAAGGGAAATCCTTGAGGGAAAGGGCACTGACACATCTCCCCAGCACAGGCTGGGACATCCTGTCGACTGAAAAAAAAAAGTGCACAATCTGTAAGTTGAGAATTATGTTTTACTTAGGGCATTACTGAGGGCTTGAGCCTGGGGTAGCCTCTGAGATAGTTCTGAGGGACTGTTCCAAAAGAGGAAAGGGAGGAGCCAGGATATATAAGAGTTTTTGTCCAAAAGAAGTACAGGGGGAGCCAGAATATGAGTTTTTGCAACAACAAAAACAACAAAAACAAACCCAGGTAGTCAAACATCAAAAGATTACTGCTAGTTAAAACACAGACATCTCAAGTTAATGAGTTTAGCACTTTTCTACATATGGGAAGATGTCTGGGCTTAATGAGATTATTCCTTTGATATACACCTTAACTATCTAGGGCCAGTAGCCTGTTTATCTCCAACCAGAGTTCCCTGGGTACACGGCTGGGGCCGGGCAGCTACAGCAGCTGATGGCTTGATGGTCTCAACGTCCTTTATTTACTGATATGGCAGGTGACACTTAGTCCATAGTACCTCCTCTCGGTCATAAATTCAACCAACATTTGGGAGACATTTCATGACCAATTTTGTCTAATGGCACTAAGGAGGCTTGTTCTTGATCAGACGAAGATTCTGTTGATAAGCCAGTCAATGTGCTAATTTTTGGATCAGGCCTTGTTGATAATCTAAAATTCCCCAGATCCCCTGTCTTACTAGTCTATTATGATCCAGGAAATGTTTTCCCTTTTTGCTTCTTTCCATACCTAGAGTTCAACGATTAAAATGATTCCATGTAGAGTTATATATATGATTGGCTGCCTCAAGATGTTTAGCCAAAATTAATTTTGATGGAGACCTAGTTACACATTGGGTAATGAAGAGACAACAATCTCAAAAAATAGACAGGATGTAAGTAATACAGCTGGTAATCTTAATGAAGCCATGGTTCAGCAGAGAGAGGCATGATGCATAAATAATTCGTAAGCAACAAGTTAAAACAATGATTGGGGGGTAGGATATAGCTCAAGCGGTAGAGCGCATGCTTAGCATACACAAGGTCCTGGGTTCAATCTCCAGTACCTCCTCTAAAAATAAATACGTAAATCTAACTACTTCCCCAAACAACAACAACAACAAAAAAAATTAA